GTCTCCCAGAGTCATCTGTCTCGTGAGACGTATATATGAAGGGTACTCGGGCTGATATTAGAATTGCTACACCTCGTGCTTTGGCGTCCGTGAAATTACTAAAGTATCCAGTTGGATACCTACGATCCCTAATGGTGGGAGCTTTATCCTTCTTAAAATGAGTCTCCTGTAGGAAAGCGATATCGGCTTTAAGTTTGTGAAGTTCAGTGAGTGTCAGCGATCGCTTCTCGGGAGCATTCAAGCCTCTAACGTTAAGCGTGATGATCTGTAGGGTAGCTATGTGGGGCCCCAGGTATGGGGTAGGCTTGCACCGGTCTGTCCTGCTTTAGGGGGCGGAAGTTGAGAGTAGGTGGTGGGGTGTATTGGTGTGTTGGGGGGGTAGTGTGGGTAAACTATATAACTATATACAAGTATATTCAAGAAGGGGTGCTGTCTACGGTTACTGTCTCTAGGCAGTAGGGGTGTAGACTGCTGGGGGTATCCTTGGGCGACTCTCCTGGGAGGGCGTATTCCCACCCAAGAAGACGGGTTGTCGCCCTGGTTGGGTCTATGACCCAAAATAGGAGCCTAGTTTTCTGCCTCTATGGTTGAGCTCGCTGTGAGTCTCTTCCAACGCACTTAAGTGTCGTCTTCTATTCGCAGTGTAAGTACGGGTTTGTTGGGTATCCTCGGTCGAGTGTGTATACGTATATGTGACATGTTGTTAATCAGTATGGGCAATGTCATGTGATCGGGACAGGAGTTAGCGTGTTTCGCAGCATGTGTAAGTGTGGTTTGTGGCACACCACGGGGGGTTATATACCTTTCCGTAGTTAGTTGTAGTCTGTTTATGGTCTGATCGTCCCCTCGCCCAGGCTAATCTGTGTGTGTCATCCTGTCTGGGAAGCCGATGTTGTTGTTTTTTTTTTTTTAGGGGTGTCTTGTCTGGGGGAGGGTAAGTCTGGTGTCTCAAAGCGTCACGACGTCAGGGGAAGGAGTACATCACTTAACAGTGCAACATGTGCATATAACATATATAATGCAATGTAAGCAAATACATACATAGACTTGTGGTGCCTTTAGGCCTTCGAATAGAATCTTAATTGCAGCAGTGTACCATGTGAGACGCTCGTCAAAGACCCCTGGGGGTCCAGGGTTTAAGCTGTGCTCTGATGTTCCCCGCCCTATGTGTATCGTGTGGTTCATTGCGTTCCTCTTCTCTCCCCGGGGAGTCTGATGAAGCCCAGAAGCCCGCCATATGATGTTAAGCAGCAGTATATCGCTATTTTTTTTTTTTTTTCACCTCTCTCTTGGTATTGTCAGGTGGAGCGTTCTCGATGGAGCTTGGACTCTTGGCTGTAAGGGTTGCTCTCTTTGGGTTACAGGCGAGGTCCCCAGCCAAGGTGGTGGGAAGTGCCGGCGTTATGGGAGTCATCCCCGTTGTCATGACAAAGAAAGATGGGGGGGGGTCCCCTGTAAGTTGGTGGGCTTCCCCTCCCGATCCCTCTGTGTCTGAAGTGGCAGGAGGAGCCCTTCCGGTATATGGGTTATGAGAGTTTAAGGGGCAAGTGCTTAAGAAGGCGGGGCCTGGGATGCCGAGTGTGGTATGGATTGCCACTCGTGCGGCATTGGTGTTGTGTGCACCCCCCTCCCCACCCGGTCCGACCCCCCATCCCCTGAGAGTGCATCCCTAAAGGATTCCCTCGACCAAGGGGGCATGGAAGGGGCAGCGATCATGTTCCCTGTGGTTAAAGTGGCCTCAACATCAAAGAGGGGCTGGTTGTGTAGCAGTCTCAGCGCAATACAATTAAGGACTATAAAGATCTACCTTAGGCTAATAATTTCCCCCTTTGGGAGCATAAAGTGGACAAAAACAACATTATTAAAGTTTGAGTCTTGCAAAACTTAGTCCATGTCTTAAAGAGTGAGATCGGTCCATCACATCTTAGAGGCAGGGTAGGTGAGGGAGTCAGGGCTTCTGGTGTGGAGCAATGTTCCGGGTGCCCTTACCCCTGCCTTCCCCCCTAGTGCAACGGAGTAGGGGCTTCAACCTCCATGACCTTGCGAAGGGCAATGGAGGCGGGTGGGAGTCTAAGCGGGGGTTGGCTCGGAGGCTCACAGGTAGAGTTGGGTGAGCGTGTGGCCTTGCTGTCAGCTGTGGGTAGTGGGTGTCTCGGTCAAGGGCAAGGGTATACTTGCGTGTCCCATGTGCAGGTTTTCGGGGTTTCCTCTGGGTCGGACTATTGTATTCCTAGAAATGGCGAAGCGGTGTCTTGGTGGACCGGGGGATCAGGCCTGTGGACTGTCTTGGAGGTAAGTTCATATACTTCGGTAGAGATGGTGTCGTGCAGGAAGGTCTTGTGGGGTGCCACTGTTGTGTCGGGTGGGGGTCTCGCCTTTAGTGTTGAGAGACGTCTCGTGCTGATCTCTCATCTGCAGCCGTTGGCGGTTCTGTTCTTCTCTTTCTGGGGGTGGTCTGCCAGCGAGCACGCTGCGGCATGGCTTGAGTGGTCTGCTGCGTGATGGGACCATACCAATCTTGAATCCTGACATCTGGTAGGTCGAAGTCCCTCAGGAAAACGGGTACATCTGCCAGCGTTGTTATGACTCTCGTATTGCCCTTATATGTAGCCGTGAGGGAGAATGGAAAGCCCCATCGGTATTTTACATTGCGGGCTCGGAGTTGGTCCGTGATTGGTTTCATAGTTCTGCGGGCCTGGAGCGTCAGCCAAGACAGGTCTGGGTAAATTGCTATAGGATGTGAGTGGAAGAGGAGCGGCTGTTGAGATTGTCTGACTGCCATAATGATGTCATTCTTGCATTCGTAGTAGTGTAATTGGCACACCACGTCCCGGGGTGCATCCGTGGCAGCACTCCTAGGGCGTAGGGCCCTGTGGGTCCTGTCGAAGATAATTTGAGTGTCGATGGGTCGGCCTAGTACGAGGTTGAAGAGTTCGCGGAGCACTGCTTGCAGGTCTTCCCTATCTTGTTCCGGCAGACCCTTCACTCTCAAATTATTCCGCCTCCCTCTGTAATCCAGGTCGTCCATAGACCTTTGCATGTACGAGATTTGTTCGTTTTGGGCTTTCATGTTGTCTTGCAGTGATGTAATCTGGGCTTGTAATGTATCCCTGTCGTCCTCCAGTGCGCTCACCCGTTGTTTAGTGAGTTGGGTGTCGGCACCTATTTTGTCCAGTTTAGTCTGGAAGGATGCTTCAAGTTTGCCCAGCATCTGGGCTAGATCTCATCTGGACGGGAGAGCTCTTATCAACTCCCTGAGGTCCGTGTCGGGGTTTTGGCTCGAGCCCTCTGATCCCAGAGGGCTCGATGGTGGGGAACCCGCTGGAGACGAGTCGGGCGCCATATTGGGGCCTATGGGGTCCGGTTGTTGCTCTGCTGCATCGCGGAAATACTTAGTTAGGGCGCTCGATTTCCCTGTCGGGGTCTTCCCCGAGGGGTGCTGCCCGGTGGTGGAACGTTTAGGGTGTCCCATGGTTGAATTGGAAGCCCGATGGTAATGGATTACACTTCGACGTGGAGGAGCTCAGCTAGCAGGCGTCCATGCAGCTCGGCAGTTGGCTCCGCCCCCCGATTTTTCATATATTATATAAGCCATTTGTCTCACTTTAGATCAGGGGATAAAAGTAAGTAGACTGTGGACATCTGGGGGTCTGATGGTACATTCTCTGATAAATCTGGCCCATTGAGGTGCTGTACAGTGCCACACACTGGTGATCACAAGCAGGGCCGGACTGGCCCACCGGGATACCGCGAAATTTTCAGGTGGGCCGCGGCACCTAGGGGCTGCACTGCCACATAGGTGGTACACTGAGAGGGGGCCGGCCGCGTTCCAGACTGGAGCCGCCGGGCCGGGTGGCAGCTTCGCCGATCCGGCGGCACTCCAGTCACTGATGGCTGAAGGAGGAGGAGCCTGTCTACCATGCTCCCTCGCGGTTCCCACAATTCCCAGCACAGGAACCACGAGGGACATGGTAGACAGGCTCCTCCTCCTCCAGCCATCAGCAGCCAATGACTGGAGTGCCGCCGGACCGGCGAAGCTGCCACCCGGCCCGGCGGCTCCAGTCCGGCGGCTCTAAGGTAAATTGGGGGCAGGGGGAGGGATAGG